GGTACTCCTTTTCATCACATCCTAGAGGCAGACAGGGGGTCAGGTTTGTCTGTTTCCACCCGGAGGAAGCCCGGTCTAGAGAGGGGAAGTGACATCCTGTGGTCATACTGCAAGTCAGAACCCAGGTGTCTAATTCCAGCCATGAGACTTCCTGTAGCCGTCGCTGCCCTGGACCTGATGCAGCCACACGTAGCCGGGACCTGAGCATGGCGGTGGGCAGGGGCAGACATTAGTCAGAGGAAACTTGTTTATCCGTTGAGTGTGGCCTGATGGACTTACCTGGTCCAGCTTGCCTGGACCAGCAGTGAGGCTTATCTTGGATCAGCTCCTTTGCTCCTCAGACAGTGGTGGATAGAGGAGGACCTTTCTTTTTCCCAGAGACAGGTTATGAAACCAGTGGCTGGAGACCATTGTCTTGTGCTATTTTCCCACAGCACTGATTTGCTTTGGGCAGACCCAGCTGCCCAGACGCCCTTGAAATGGCTGCTGGTGCTCCTGTCTCAGACAGTGAGGTCAACCCTTGTTCTCCCCACTCCCAGTCCCCTGGGAGCGGCTGGTGCAGCATGTGTACAGATAACGGTTAGCCACTGACTGTCCGAGCCATCTAATCTCTGTTAAGAGACTCTTCAACAATGAGTTCGTTTCCTCAAATGCAGCCTTGGCTAGGAGTAGAATGTACCTTCAAGGCCTGTTCTGCTGTCTTCCGTCTGGGACTTGGAAGTAAAGTTACCCCTAGAGCAGTGGTGGTGAACCTATGGCACACGTGCCACAGCCCGCTGTTTGTTACCATTGGAAGCTCTAAAAGGTTTGCCATCACTGCCCTAGAGGATTCCCTTTCCGAAGACTGAGTTAAACCAGCCCTCAGTCAACTCCATTGGGAAACTCTTCTCCCTGATATCTCTTGCTGGCAGCACCCAGATGCCGACAGCCTGTACGTGGAGAAGATTGATGTGGGGGAAGCTGTACCACGGACAGTGGTGAGCGGCCTGGTGCAGTTTGTGCCCAAGGAGGAGCTGCAGGACAGGCTGGTGGTGGTGCTGTGCAACCTGAAAGCCCAGAAGATGAGAGGAGTCGAGTCCCAAGGCATGCTTCTGTGTGCTTCTGTGTGAGTGAGGACATGGGGGCTCCAGACCGAGGGCGGCCAAGGAGCGTGGGCAAGTGGCTCATCTGATGCCCTTCCGCATCCCAGGGGGAAGCCCAGAGAGCACTCACCTTTTCCTCGTTGATGCCAAAAGATGCGTGAAGGAGTCACTGTACTGAGTACCCTGAATGACGCTCTTTACCTACGGTTAATTTTAGTAACTAGAAATAGTGGTAGGAGCACACCCTAGCCTTACTCCTAGTAAGAGATGGAGCCACAGTTCGAACCCAGTTCTGATCTGCTATAGAGCCCTCCTGGGGTACTTCACCTCCTCTAGAGACCCAGAGTTTGGTCTGTTTCCCCACATAGCCATGGTTAATCTGACCATGATGGTGTCCAGAGACATACTGAGTCAGTGAGGACCTCCTGGCTGTCGCACGGAGGGTGTCCTAAATCCTGTGAAGGCCCCTTGAAAAGGCCCGCAGTTTCCACAGCCTTTGGAAGCCACCCACAGCCTCACCCTGTGCCTGTCTGTGTCTTCCCAGAGAAGGTCCAAGCCGCCAGGTTGAACCTCTAGACCCTCCTGCAGGCTCTGCTCCTGGTGAGCGAGTGTTTGTGAAGGGCTACGAGAAGGGCCAGCCAGATGAGGAGCTCAAGCCCAAGAAGAAAGTCTTCGAGAAGTTACAGGTAAATGCTGCAGTTGTTTCCCCGCTTGCCTGGGCTGCTGGGTCTGTCTCCACTCTGCCTTGTTACTGGCCCCGAAGCCACTTCTTTCTCAGTTGGGACTTCCTGTGTCTGAGCCCCTTTTCTTTCCAGACTTTCCTGAATGTGAGAGGCTTGGGGGTTTTGGAAGCTCTCATGTACTGAGCACTGACATTATTTGAGGCATTTTGTGAGGAATGTTAGACACTTCCCTATTCTTCAGTTCGTGGCAGGAGCTGGTGGAGATTTTCACTTTTCACCAGGCAAGATACCTGCCAAGGCCGTACAGAGTTACCAGAGGTGGTGGAGCCAGGGGCTGGAGTGTAGCGGAAGGTAGTGACTTGGCCCTGGCTTAATCTCCACCACAAAAGAAAAGGGAAATGAAGCAGAAGAGCTAGGATCAAAAACCTCTTAGGGTCCCTGCTGACTACCTTAAGCTTGGAATTCTTCTCTCCTTGCCCTCTGCACACTGACTTAACTAGAGCCTGCCCCAGTGAGCCCTGAATTCATTCGTTCATTCATTTAACAACTATTGAGTCTTCATCTGTCGGGCACTCCTCCAAATCCTCAGGTTACATCAATGAACAGACCGCCAAAACTTGCCTCTCCTCGTGGAACTAACATTCAGGAGTGGCTTTCTAGTTAGTACCGTGTTTGCTCAAAGAGTTATCTGGAGGCATCCAGAGTATACCTCCCTTTCCACCCTCTTGCCTGCGGCAGGTGCATTGCCCACTCTTTCTGGTTTTCTCGGCTGACTTTGTGAATCTCTTATTTTTTCTGGTTATAAAGTAGTTTCATTGTAGAAAATGTCTAAAATATGGAGATGAGGGAGTGTAGGAAAAAAAGCCGTAGTCCTACCACAGACATGATCATTTCTTTCTGGTTTTTTGTTCTGTATAGAGAGAACACATTTACAGCTTGATTTGTACTAAATGTTTATTCTGCTTTCTAAATTTTCATTTATGCCTGAAAACTTTCCCCATCGTAAATACTGAGGAGGTCACATTGTATAATAGTCTATGATAGTTAATCACAGTTTTACTAAAATCTTGCGAGGCACTGAGGTCATTCTCAGTTTTTCACTATTAAAATGTTATAATGGGCTGGGGAGGTGTAGCTCCGTAGTGGACACTTGCTTAGTATGTGCAAAAGCCTAGGTTCACTCCCCCACACTGCCCAAAAAAGGGGACGGGGCACTCACTATGATAAATGTCGTAGTATAGAGGTCTTTGTGCTCACTCATGTTTGCTTTTGTGGGTTTTTTTTGTTTTTTTTGTTTTTTTTTTTTTTGCTTTTGTGTTTTTGAGACAAGATCCCTCTACGTAGTTCAGGCTGGCCTTAATGTCCCACTAGGTAGCCCAGGCTGGTGTTGAACTCGCAGCAATCCTCCTGCCTCAGCCTTTCAAGTGCTGAGATTACAGGCCATGATTATTTTCTTACCCCCCCCCCCCGTACCAGGAACCGAACTCACGACCTTGCGCTTGCCAGGCAGGCGCTTTGCCGCTGAGCTAAATCCCCAGCCCCTGGCCATGATTATTTTCTTAAACTAAATTCTGCAATGAACTTACCTGAATTGTGAACATGGAAGCTTTTGTACTTAAGCTTGTACTTTGTTTTGTTTTGATTGAGGTGCTAGGGATTAAATACAGGGAAACTACTCTTAGAGAAGTTGAACCAGCCGGGAATATAGCTCAGCGGCACAAGTGCCTGTCTGGCAAATACAGGATCTTGAGCTCGAGTCCCGGTACCAAAAAAAGAAAAATTGAACCAGGTTACACTACAAGTAGCATAAGAGGTATAAGAGTTTCCTTGTGGTTCCGATCACCAACACTAATTTTTTTCTTGTATGTGCACGCGTGCGTGCGTGCATGCGTGTGTGTGGTCTGTCTTGTCCAGGCTGACTTCAAGATTTCTGAAGGGTGCATTGCACAGTGGAAGCAAACCAACTTCATGACCAAGCTGGGGTGCGTCTCCTGTAAATCATTGAAAGGGGGGAGCATCAGCTAGCCAGCCTGGCATCTTCCTCCCTTCTCCACCATCCTCAGTCGCCTGTGGTCTCCTCGCCGTGCTGCATCCATCGCCCATCGCCCATCTCTCAGGACGCGGAAGCAGCAGGTCCGGGACTCCAGAGATGCACCACTCGTTAAGGAGCAGCTCACCTCCCGGAGTCCAGGATCATCCTGTCCGGGCGGTGAGACTGACCCCAGGTAGCAGGGAAGGCCAGGCAGTAGCAGGAACCCAGCACTACTTTCTTCCCTTGGCAACTGACTGGAAAATTCTGGTTTCACTATAACTCATAGAAAAAGTTTATGCCGCAATCCTTGTAATTGGAAAAACATTGGTTCCCAGGTTTTCTTGGAGTTATCCCAGCAGCTGTTCCTCTAGCTGGGATCTAGTGCTCGGACTGAGCTAATTACAGCTTCTCCTCAACAGGAAATTGTGGGATTTGAAAAGGAAGAAGGAGGGAAAACAGAACCAGTGGTTCACCAAGTGGTTGGCAGCTCTCTCCGTGCCTTTCTACCCTGTGGCTCAGCAGTACCAGGAGGAAAGGCCTGCCGCAGGCACCCTAAAGCAGCTGTTTTGTTAGTATCAGGGGCAGGATGGGTGGTATAGCCTGTTTCTTCAGAGAGGGTGGTACTTCTTCCATGAGGCATCTTAAATCCCCAACCATCACCGTCCGATTCAAATAAAACGTCTGAACAAGGGTATCTGAATGGGGCCTGTCTGTGAGCTGAACTCTCGGAGAAAAGCGTGAAGCAGTTGCTGGGCCATTCACATAGCCTGGAGCTGCTTTTATCTTTTGCTTCTGGCTCCATACTAGGTCGGGGATGGGGAGATAGGGTGGGTAACAGATTCTTTGACTCTCCCTTTGGTGGTACTAAGCAGAAGAGACCCACTCTCTTGGCCCCAGTGCTTATTGCAGGCAGAATATTTTCCCTTCCTTTTTATGTTGTTCTGAGTTAGGTCTCACTGTGTAGTTCAGACTGGTCTTGAACTGACTAGGTGATCCCCCTGCCTCAGCCTCCCAGGCATGTACCACCATGCCCTGCCCATCTATTAAGAAGCATCTTTTGTGGTTAGTGTGGTGGCTGGATTTTCAGGCTACTGTGTGTGACGTACTTGCCTCAAACCTTGTCACCAGTATTACCCACTGAGGACACATTACCCAGTTGACATTGGCCAGGGTGGGGGGTGTAGAAGAAGCAGCAGTCACAGCCAAGTTTCAATCATTTAATTAATTAATACCTTTAAATGAAACACAGCTTTTTCATGTGTCTCACTCAAGCTTTAGGGCACAGGAGATGGATTATGTGTATAGACATATCAAAGACTCAAAAATTTAAAGAAATATATATATATATATATATATATATATATATTCTCCTGTCTTCTAACATTTTTATGCAAATTAAAAATCAGAGGCTTTTGGTCTCTCCATTTGCACTAGGTCAAGTTCATTTACCCCAGAGGACAAAGAAAGGTTGCCTCTGCTAGATTCCTTCTGCTTTGTATTCTGGCCCACCCAGTGGGGAAAGAAGCTCAGAAAATCCTAACTGAGGATAAGGGCTCCAGTAACACTGGACGGGAAGGAAGGACACGAGTTGGGATCCCTCCCGCCTTGAGCATCTCAAGGATACTGCCAGGTTCCATTGGGCTTCGATGGGTCCTGGGTCCTAGGGCAGGGCAGATGAGGAGCTCCAAGCAGAGCGGTGCTTATTGATTGTCCTTCCTCAACTCAGTGGGCAGGTACAGCACATACCCAGCAGCAGCTCCCCATTACCCACAGGGCAAGAGCAAAACTTGGTTTATAGCTACGGGGAGAAGATGGTGGTGGTACACTAAAAGTCTCTAGAGTAGACCACAAACCCCTGATGTTCCCAGCTCTTGGGGAGCAGGTGACAAGCCAGAGTGCCACCCTCCTGATGGCAGAAGCGAAATACAAAGTTCCTTGCCAGGCTCAAGTCCATGCCACTGTTAAGGAAAGGGATCAAGAAGGGATGGCTCTGGGTGGCAGCCAGGCTGCTGTCAAGGGAGGCACTGCGACCATCCCTATCGCATCATGGAGGCCGCTGAGGAAGCCGGCTTATCGAATAGGTGGTATAGGCTGAAAACAGAGGTCGTTAAAATTCCCCGAGGTGAGAGCAGCAGCACAGGCTGACACCTAGGGGACAGCCATCCCCTCCTCCCTAGGAGCCCCGCGTGCCTCCTCACTGACTAGGAAAGAGCTGAATAAAATGCACCTTTGGCTTCCTATCCTTGCGATTCAGCCTCAGCTCCCCCAGCAGAATCACCCATGCTGAAAAGCAGCTGCAGAAAGGGCATCACGAGAAAAGAAGTCTAAGGGCCAGCTCTGGGCCTGCTGCCCAAATAATCTCTCCTCTTGTCGATTCTCCCCTTCCACCTCAGTAGTCCCTGCCAAGCTGAAAGGGACAAGCCCATGGGCTCCTGCCTCTGAAACTGCCAATCTGCCCCACCCGATTGAATTGAAACCGGCAGATACCCGGCATGCCAAGGACTGGCTGAGATGACCTGCTGCTCTGTCTTCACATTCAGGGGATGGAGAGAACCTCAGCCCGCCCCTCTGGTCCTCCCCCTACCCCATCTGGGTCCTAGCAGTCTCCTACTTGTCCCCTGCATGGAGCACCTGGCAGAACTGGAAGGCAGGAGCTTGGTGATAAGTTGAGGCACAGGAAGGCTCGCCCCCACTGCACCTTTTGTGCTTTGGAATCCCAGTCCTGCTCCTGCCCTCAGCCTGGGAAGCCTGTGGGAATAAGTGACTTGTTCACCTCCAAGAACTACGAAAAGGAGCGAACTGGATTAGGGGGACAGAAGACAGACTGGCCCCAGCTACGGACTGGCTACCAGAGACTGATGCTGCCACCATGTAAACAGGCCCTTGGAATGTGGCTTCACAGGCCCTGGAAGATGGACATGTAGCCACTTTGCGAAAGTGCTTTGATTCTGGACTACAGTATGTGCATGATTTGGATATTTAAAAAAAAAAAAGAAAAAGGAAAGAGGTGTTCTGCACCCACCTCTGTGGCCTTGTAGCCAGCAGGGGGCGCAGCCACCCACTCCCATCAGCTACCTCCTTCAAGATGAGGCTAAGGCCAAGGCTGAAGCAGCAGCTGCTAGAGGTGCATCCTTCCAGGAAAAGGCATGAGAGCTGGGTAGTCTGCAGGACCGGGCAACACCAGGCTTGCATAAATATCAAAGGCCGTGAGGTTAAGGCTGCAGGCGTCCTCCCTTAGATTGTGTCTGCCGTGTCCTCGGGTCCTTGGAGCTGCTCAGGTCCCTGAGATTGTATTCCTGGGATGGGTCAGCAGTGCCAGCAAGTGTGCTGGTCAGACCAGCTCTTTCTGTGGCTCTGTAGAGGAGACAGGGACCCTCAGCCACAGGCCTCCCAGCTTAGTTCTGGCACTAAGAACCCAAGACACATCCTCACCCACCCTTTCCTGTCCCCTTTACAGACACCTCGCCAGCAGCACTGGGCGGGGCACCTCTGACACTAACACGGGTGTCACTGGCCATGCTTCACAGCACAGCGAGGGCAGGAGATGAGACAGTACGGATGGAATACACTGAGTAGGTCTCATGCCTAAGCTATGACCTGCATTCCTTTCACTACCTCATCAAGGACAATGCGCCTGTCCCAGGCATCACAAAACCAGAGGATCCAAGAACAACCCCCAGTGGGTGGGACTCTCGATACTTATTTCCCACCTGTGTTGGGTCCCATGCCCACCACTGCCCACGGTACCTGAGCCTGGGGAACTCATCTTCTCCTCTGGACCCGCCAGCTGCACACTTCCGTTCTCGGCCAGCTCTCCCTTAGTCCTGTCCTCGGCATGAGGGAGCCCGTTGGTGGGAGGAGCAGAAAGGGACTGCGACAAACCAGGGGAAGCAGGTGGGGCAACTCCCACAGAGGGCTTTCGGGCCACAGGTGGGGGAGCCTTAGGTGACTTCTTCGGTGCCTGAGGTGGTCGCTGCTCTGAGATGCTCCGAAGTTCAGCCACCAGATTCCGCTGGAGGTCAGCCTGGGCCTCCGGGGACACAGGTCGCTCGATGTGCAGCTTCTTGGTGCCCTTGGAGAAGATGAAGCTGGCCGTGGAGGCAGGGGACTGGGGAGACCGTGGCTGTGCCTCAGCTGCTCCATTCAGCTGGGCACTTCTGAGGCCTCCGCTGGCAGCTCGGCTGGAGGCCTTGAGTTGGACGGCAGCATGGAGCCCTGCAGAGGGGGCAGGCACAGGGCTGGCCCGCCCTGACAGGGCCCTTCGGAGTGGCTTCTGGGGGGCTGATGGCCCGGAAGCTGGGGTTGCAGCCCCTGCGGGAGTGCCCACAGAGCGCAGCCGCACCATCTGTAGCAGTGAGGGTGTGACCAGAGGCGCACCTGCGTCCTCCCTAGAAGTCCCACTGCTCTTGCTGCTGCCCACCGGCTCCTCCTTCTGAGGGGGCTTGGTCAGAAGCTCAGGGACAGAGCTAGTTGGAGGTGGGACTGGTGGAGCGGGAGGAGGCTCTGGGGTACCCTGGGGCTGGCTCTGGGTAGAGACAGCAGCTGGGGGTGAAGCAGTCAAAGAGCTGACAGGCTCTGGGGCATCTGAAGGGCCTATAGGCTCAGCGCCAGTCACAGAGAAAAAGGCCTCCTCAGGTGGAGGGAAGTCCGCCATGGACAGGTCCTGCTCCTCAGATGCGGGAGGTGGGGGTGGAGGCCAGTTGGGGTCTGAGAGGGGCTCCTCAGCAGTCTCTGGGGCTGGTGGGGCCTCCTCAACCACCTCCAGCTTCTTACTAGGGGGTGGGGGTGGGTGATAAGAGGGAGGTGGGGATGGTGGGGGTGAATGGTCTTTGGAGACACCAGGAGACTCCTGGGGAGGGGTCAGGGATGTCTGGGGAGCAGGAGGGGTCTCAGGTCTGGCATCAGTGGTAGAGACGGGCCCAGGAACCACAGGAGGAGCAACCAGAGCAGAGGCAGCTTGGTTAGCGGCCTTGGGCTTATTAGAGGGAGGTGGAGAGAAGGGAGCAGGCACCTTGGGGTGAGGAGGTATGACGAACCTATCACCAATGGAGGCTGAGATATGTGGACCAGAGCGGTCTAAGGGGGTAGGATCAGAGGATGAAGAACATAGAGATGTAAGCGAGGAGGACACAGAGGTTCCAGGAGATCGAAGGGATGTGACACGCTCTGGTTTAGGGGGCTGGGCCTTGCCTGGGGAGGCAGGGGTACCCGCCAGACCCTTGGGAGGGAGGGTAGGGGTACCACTTTGGCTCGAGTATCCACTGGAGGGTGAAAGTGTCCGTTCTGGGGAGTGTGGCGGACGCCGGGAACCACTGGGCGACAAGCCAGGCACCCAGCCACCTGCTGAGTTGGGTGGACAGGGAGCTGCCCCCACTCTTTCTGACCCACCTGTAGTGGGTGGCCGGGGCAGCTGTGGCTGCTGCTTCCGCTCTGGCTTGGGAGGCAACCCTAAGGGCCCATCAGGCGCGGCTGAGCCCCGCTGGTGGAGGGAGTAGGTCCGGCGGGGCGGTGGCGGAGGGCGCTTCATCTTTCGCAGGGACACACTCCGGCCAGACAACTGCCCACTGCTCCGAATGCTGACCGTGTCTGAGGCTTCGGCAGTGCTACCCCCACTAGGGGAGCCCCTCCCGCTGCCCGCTTGAGAAGGGGGTGCCGCACTAGTGTTAGTCACAGAGCCCTCTGGCTGGCCCTCCGAGCCCCCCTTAGAGGAGAGGGTGGAACCGTCAGACACGATGGTATCAGAGGACTGAGAGTGGCTCCAGGTGTCGCTGGAGGAGGAAGGATGGCGGCTGCGGGGCCGCGGGCTGGAGGCTGAGGAGAAGCGGCCCACCGAACGGATGGAGGCTGGGCTGGCTGAGACCAGGCTGCAGCGGCTCAGGGTGCGCAGGCTGCAGCGGCCCAGGGCCACCACATCCACTGTGGGTGGCAGCACAGCATGTGGGATCAGCTTCGACAGGTAGGTGGCCTGGGGTGAGATGGACATGGCTGGGCTCAGGGGCTCTGGAGGTCCAGCCCCTCCTGTCAGTCCTGGCACAGCTAGGGACATGGGCCGGGTCAATGGCGGGGGCCGGGCCCCGGTGGACCGGCCAACGAATGTGTCATCCCGGTAGACATGGTCAATGTGGCGCTGCAGCATGGCCTCCGTGTCTGCACCAGCCTCTGCCTCTGCTTCCAGGGCCTGTAGGGACACCCGGACCCCTGTCCCTAAGGCCAGGCCAGCTGGGCGGCCATCTACCGTGGGGATGCGGACGGCATCCCGTGGACCAGAAGGCCGAGAAGGACCTGGTGCCTCACACTCATTCCGCAGGCCTGGAGTGGTCAAGAAGGAGGAAGCAGTCAGCGGAGTCCGGCCAGGCTCCCCACCCACCCCTGCTGCCTCTCTAACCCGAGACTCACCGAGCTCCTTCTGCACGTGCTGCGGCAGTCCCAGCACTGTGCTCCGCCGCTCACGCCGCCGGCGCCCCGGCTTTCCAGATGATTTGGGAAATGAGTCATGGGGTCGGAAGGTAGAGCCTGAGGGCCAGTGGGGGACAGGGAAGAAAACCAGTTAGAACCGAAGGACTCAGCACATTCCACAGAACACTACTTTTATAGGATATTAGTAACAGCTCTGGAGGCAACTTTTCTGGAAGGCTACCAGGCAACAATGACCATTTTCATTTGCTGAGTGCTTATTATTATTTAGTAAACATACTATTGTATGTCAGCATGCTAGAGTTTGGCACTCATTCCAAAAAGGTAAGTCTGCTGGGAATATAGCTCAGTGGAATCACGCCTGCTTGGCAAGCACGAGGTCCCGAGTTCGATTCCCGGTACAAAAAAAAAAAAAAAAGTAAGTCCTCTTACTGTCCTTTGATTTTTATAGAACATTCAACAAAACCTCAGAGAGGTTAAGGGTTCGCCCCAGGTCACACAGCTGCCCAGTAGCATATCAGGTCTCAAACACAGGTTTCCCAACTCTTAACTGTCCTACTTTACAGTGAATGTGCCTTATGAAATCCAAGAGGGCAGAGGATACTGTCTCCTAAATTCACTGAATAACAAAGCCTGGGAAAACAGTGGATTAGGAGGAAAAAGGGAAGCTGCAGGTGCTAGGACAGGACAATGCCCGCCACCCTCCCCCCTGCCCAGGAATCTCAGCTGGTGAGCAGACACCTTTGCGCTGGATCATCTCCGAGCGGATGGACAGAGCATCCTCAGCTGTGGAGCTCTCAGCGGTGTAGGATGTGGTCTGGCTGCAGAAGGAGATGCTGTCTTCATCTGGCCCTGTCTGGGAGGACTGTTGCAGGGGAGAAGGAGATCAGGCTCTGGCCTGAGCAGGCTGCCTTCTCAGGACTCCCTGCTGGAACTTCTGACTCACAGATTCCCCCAGTATCACACAGCACCGAGCAGACATTAGGTAGCACAAGCCTGGACAAGCCCCCAGGATCACTCAGCCCAGAAGATGCAGGAAGCAGAGACCCAGCAGCACACAAAGCTATACTGGCCAGAGGTCAAACAGGGAAGAAAGAGCAGTCGGGGCGGAACTGGGGGTCAGGGCTCACCTGGATACTTTGGGTGTCTCCATGGTCCCAGCTGCCCTTGTTCAGTTTCTGCTTTTCTGGAAGATACCAGAAGGGTGTGTGAAAGAAGCCCCTGCACCTCAGGAGCCAAGACAGCAGCGCTGGAGGAGAGGCAGGGAGGGTTACCTTGGTGCTGCAGGGAGCGAAGCCCCTCCTGGGCCTGAGTGTGCAGCTCTTCCAAGTGAGGTGGTCGCCCGCTGGGGAAGAAGACATTGTCCTGGTGCTCACCCACGACAAACCCTGGCCCCTGGCCAGGCCCTGCACTCTGGCGTTTGTCACTTTCAGCTTTGGCAGAGCCTAGTAAAAACGGAGGAGGAAGGAAAAAGTGAGGCCTAAAGGCCTGTGGTCCCTTGAGATACACAGGCACCAGGATAAAGGCAGCTACAGTCCACACTGCACATGGCCCCTGCACACACATGCAGTGTCCACCTGCCCCAGCCCAGCTTGCAAGCCACAGATTCTGGGTGCATGATACACACAGCCCCAATACTTCTCCAAACTACACCTAAGGGTACACACATCCGGGTACTCACACCACACAAAGGGCCCCACACACCGCATGTACACAAAGCACACAGACCCACTGCCTATGCACACCGCACCCACAGGCTTCAGAGAAGCACAAATCAGCACATGGGTATAAACCCACGTATGTGCCCACACCCAGCCTCCACACACCCACACAACACCCACAGATCCCGTTCTGTATGTACACACACAGTAGGTAAAGATATATACAACTGTGTACCCACACATCACTCAGAGCCTCATGCAAGACACCCCCAGTACACACATGGGCCACAGCAAATACATTTCTTATGTCTAGACCCCAAGTTCCACTTTAAAGGAAAACAAGTCACCCTTTTCATACAGCGCGTTGGCACAGATCCAGGGAGAAGATACCATAGGAAACAGGAAGGAGTGGCAGCTGGCAGAAAACCCTGGGGGAAGGACACACTAAGGGTATAACCTCTGGGACCCCGACTCACCCATATGTATGGCCGCCCTTTTGTGGGGGCATGGGAAGGGGAGAGGGACCCAAGCTCCTCCACCCCCAGCCAGGGAGCTCAGCCTCTTTGGGGTTACAGTCCCAGGTATGCCCTCTCCAGGAGGCCCTGGCCCCTGATGCAGAAGAGCTAGGGATCCATTACAGAGGATCCCATTACAGGCTCCGCCCACGGAGGGGCTGGTCATCTAATCCAGCGGAGAGGGGCTGTGTCAGCACTTTGCAGCCCCCCTCCCCCAAATGAAAGCCACAACATAAGCAAAAGCGCTAGGAGAGTCATGTGACCTTGGCAGCACCTTGTAGAGAGGCAGGAACAAAATAAGCCCTTTAAAGGGCCACGCCCCAGGCCAGGGTCTCCAGCTCAGGGAGATACCTGTCATTCCTCCTTCCTCAGCCCACCCTTCCACAGCCAGAGCTCTAGTCCCAGGACTCTACCGGGTCGGAGCTGGCAAGTACCTCAGGGGCGCTCAGGCCTTCTCCCGCTCCTGCCGTTACAAGCAGGGGGCGGGGGCTCCAGGGGAAAGGCCTGCCTAAGGCCATCCAGCAGAAAGGACTCGGAGCCAGGACTAAACTTCGAGTTCCCAGAAGTCCACGAAGCGTCTGAATACAGGCCTGAAACCCCCCGGACCCCCTCCACCCACGCCTCTGAACACAGCTGCACCGACCGAGCTCAAGTTCCAGCAGTACTACTTTTCCTCGCCGCTCCCCCCACCGATCCCTTCCCATCTGCGGGGATGACTGCGAGGGAGCGCGCCCCTCTCTCCGAAAGTGGGCTACTGGGCCGGACCCAGTAAAGTGTGGGTACCCCTGCAGGGAGGCGATCTGGCCCAAGGGCCGCAAGCTTCAAGGTCAGAGACACCTGGGTCCATCCTCCCAAGCAGCGGCCAGACAAAGGCGGCAACAAAGCTGCTGGACAAAGGCAGGCCGCGGTCAGGAGAGGCCGGCCTCGTTATCGCCCCCTCCCCCACGCCACGGCTCCTCCCGGCCGCCAGATCCCCCTTCCACACAAAGGTCCAGCCGCGGGAGCTGTCGGGGAGCCCTCCCCGCCCCCCGGCCACACCCACTCACCCTTCTTCTTAAACAGCTCCAGGAGCGCTGGGAGGTGGCGGCCCAGGAACACCACCATGACTGCGGGCACCACTGGGGACCTTCCCCCACCCTGGCCTCCCGGGCGAGCACCGGACCCCGCCTTCACCCAGCCCGGCACTAAGCCGGCCCGCACCTCACTGCGCGGCCACCTCACAGCAGCGCGACCTGCCGGCAGAGGAGGGGGAAGGGCTGCGCCCGGCTCTCCTCCCACCTTCGCCACTGATCCTGCCCACTCGCCAACCCCGCCCCCACACGGGGCCCAGGGGCAGAAGAGGGAAACTGAGGCCCGAGGCCATGGGTGTTCTATCGAGGGTAAAACAGGGGAGGGAGGCTTGTGCTACTTAATTCTCCAGGCGGACCGCTAACTCTGCCTCCCAGTCCTTGCCTAAACACTCAGGAACCACAGCTGAGGGAAGGGTCCCAGCTGCCAGATGGTAGATGGCCAGGCGGCCAGGCCACACTTGGCACGGCGCCCACCTCCAGGCCCTGCCGGCTGGTGGGCTAATTCCCTGAGGAAGCACTTGGCTCACAGAACAGCCAGGAGGGAGCCCAGGGCCACCTGTGGGGATGGCCGGGCGATGACAAGGCCCCTCGAGGGGCAGGGTCACAGCACATACTGGGAAGCCACGGGGCTGCCCGGAGCAGATCCAAACGGTGGGAACAACCGCGAGGAGCGCCCAGTCCCACGCGTCCCAAGGACTTTCTTCCTACTTTGGCAACATGACATCGGAGGACTAGAGAAACACAGAGAACTTTCCAAGGTCACACAGCACAGGCACGATTTCAACACAGACTTCCAGTCCCCCCAGCCCGGGATTCTCCCTGCTGGCACCACTCTGTCACTTACTGATGTGCTAGCTCACCGGGCAGGGATGATAGAACTGGCAAAGAAACAGCAAAGTCAGTAAAGGTCAGGACACTGCGGGGTGGGGTAGGGGAGGGAGGTCAGGCCCAGGTTCAAACCCTGCTCCTTCACCAGCTCCATCACACACAGGTCACAACCTCACCCTTATGAGACTGCCGCATCCATTCTTTCTGTCAGCAAACATTAAGCAACTACAAGAGACTACAGCTGAAGGAGGGGAACTTTTATCTGTCCACTGGTATACGCCCAGAGCCCAAATCAGTGTCTGGCATGTGCTATGAGTTCAATGAATAATGAATATATGAATGAGCCAGATTAATTTTTGGTAGTAAAGACTGAAAAGCTGTGGCAGTGAGGCCACTCATGGCAGTACATTCTTATAACCCAGTCAATCTGAGAGGCAGAGGCAGGAGGATTGGGAGTTCTAGCCCAGCCTGGGCAATTTGGGGACTTACTGAGAATTGTCTCAAAATTTAAAAATAAAAGGCTAGGGATGTAGCTCATTGCGACGCCCTTGGGTTCAATCTCCAGTACTGCAGAAAAGGATGTTGGAACTGAGACCCAAACGATGAGGAGCCAGCCAGGGCAGGTACAGGGAGCAGAGATTTCTAGACAGGCAGCAGCATGTAGAAAAGGCTTTAGGAGGGGCTGGGGATTTAGCTCAGCGGCAAAGAGCCTGCCTGGCAAGCACAAGGTCATGAGTTCGGTTCCCGGTACC